CACATATGCGTATATAGTACACCACACGCATGTACATTTATAAAAAAAGGTTATATATGTTTATATATGTTTCTTGATAGCCACAACAAATTTATATCTCAGAAAAATCCTGTATTTTAAATTCTTCGTTACACGACTATAAAGTATATATAAGGTACTGAAATTTAAAAAAATGCATTTTATAGGACATTCATGATAACAATAAATTTTAATAAGAATTTCAAGATAACGTTAACTTTCTTTATAAAAGAATGTCAAATGTAAAAAGTCACTTTTTAAATATTAAAACTTAATTACGTTGGAAACCTAACGCTGAAATTTTAAACATATTATAAAATAATAAGATTGGAAACAAGATCGTTTATGTTAAATACATTACTTTAAATACGAAACGCCTGACTACAGTCTGAATATTAAGATGTTAAGCTTCGTATTTAAAGTAAACATATTATATTCTTTCGTAGCCAGCCGAGCCGATTTATACATCTCCCTTCCTCGCCTGAACCTCTTTATTGCGCCTTACCGCAACCTGACACCGACGAGCTAGTCCGCACATAAAGTCAGGTTGTTATACTATAAATGTTATACGAACGTTTATAAGATGCTTATGTTAACATCTTATATTAACATCTACTACATTTTTTTAGTAGTCTAAAAAATTATTTTTCTTTAGGGAAATAGGTAACTAAAAAAATTGATTGTCTCCTTGGCTGAGCAGAAACGTTATTTCAGTGTATACAGCCAAAGTTTCATTTGTATTACATGCATATGGAGTTAAAATGGTTCCTAACGTTAATGCGAGAATTACATAGTCCAATATCACACAGGGGAATTTGAAACCACTGCTGAAATGATCATCAATCTCCTATATTCTACTTTGAAAATATTTGAAAGAGTGAAAATGATTAATAAATAATATTTGAATTGTTTGTGTAATAATAAATATGATATTTTATATTTCTGTTTTTATTAAGTTATCCTTAAATTGGACTATAGATCTTACATGCCATATTGCTTCATGTGCACACGAGAATTATCATGTTTCAAATATTTGTCGACAGTTTAGGAGAAAGAAAGGAAACTAAGATATTAATAATGACTAAAATAACAACAATATCACAGATATATATATTCTTGTTATATAAATCCATTGTTGGTTACAATTAAGCAAAGAAAATTCTGCAAAATTCTTACATTGTCAATCTTAATGAGATCAAAGGAATATTTGTGTCGGATTATGATATGTATGAACAGTGATGAATCTATTTTGACACTTAGAATATCATTAATGAAGAAATACTTCAAAGGTATTAATTTTATGAATCCAGCATGTTCGTTCAATCTAGAAGCAAATTAATACAACTAAAAAATTTTAGTCTGAGCAAGAAAAGCATCAATACAACGCGAAATATAAAACGTATTTCAAGAATTTAGAGAAATAGATAACTATAACTGAGGAAACAAAAAGATTCGGAACTTGCATTTTGGATTTATAGATGGCTTGGTACAAACTGAATACCTGCATTTTTTCAACGCAATATACTAATAAAATAAATATTCTAAAGTATATATAATTTAATCGTTGCTGAAATTTCTATATTCTAAAATAAATGTTACCTTCTCTCTATCTCTCTCTCTCTCTCTCTCTCTCTCTCTCTCTCTCTCTC